AAACCCTAATTTTATTGCTTTCTTAGACAATTTAGCATGACAACACAAAATGAAATTCTCTTTTATTTTACATAATTCGAATTCCACACATAACCGGTAAACTTGAATTGAAATTTATTCCCTGTGGGACAATATTCTCGACTCACTAAATGTATTACTTATCAGGGATCTAGTATGCTTGTGAGTTTAACACGAACATTAGATCATATTAAATTATACTCTTCGGGGGCAACTAAAATCGAACTAGAATTGATAGCATTTTATTTCAGAAGTAACAATATTTTGTAATAGACAGGTGTAAAACTAGTTAAATTCATGAACTGTACTACATATAAGAAAATCAGAATGTGATAATTCATCGGACGATAAACAAGAAGCCAAATAAAATTAACAAATATGCATTCAAAATTAAGTTATTGAATAATTACGTTTACTTAATGGATTTACATGCAAAGATACGGAGATAGCCCATGAATTGGGCGTATGTGATGTTGACTAAGATGACCTCGTTAGATGGAAAAGTAATGATTAGGTTTCAAATACAAATGCACAAGGAAGATATTCAAGAAACAGTAGATACCAATTTTTGTATAAAAAATAGAAAACATGCTCTTGATTGGATTCCAACATTACTTGGAATTAAGGTGTAGAATTTGGATACAAAGAGATGGGATATTCCAAAAATCACAATTTGAGATATGCTGAATGTGGCGATGAAAAATAAATATGTTGTGTATGCGGCAATGAATTTTTTTTCTTTGCTAATTTGGTAATGTGGCCAGACAAGGAAAAATATAACTCATATGATTTGAGATTGTATATAGACTACCTTCAACTAATGTACTTGGAATCTGTGAGAATTATGCTGATACAATATTATGAAATAGAGAGAAAAAGTAAAAATAGAGAAGTTAGTAGACTTATGGGTATTTTATTGAGAACTAAATCCTCATATTTATATGGAAAGGATTAGAAATACAATGGATACAATAGTCATAATGACTAGAAATGTGCAAATATAAATGTCATTGACTAATAAGCATACAATTTGCAACAAACTCAAAATTACAGTTCATTTTAGGGATTTTTTGTGTCAAGCATTTTTTGAGAAGAGATTTAAAAAAAAAAAAAAAGAAAAATGATTAATTTTACTATTACTTTTTTTTTTTTTTTTTTTTGCAGGCAAAAAAAATTAGCAAAACAGCTGTTTTGACATGTTAAATGTCAAGTTTACCCATTATTTTGTTGAGATGAATGTTTTCTCGGTATCTTGGTAGCGTGCTAAATAGTTGTAAAAGTAGAAATTAAATAAATTGTCTTGAAAGACATAAATTCGTGCAAAAGTGTGTATCTGATAAAAGTTTTCTCGACAGTTTAGAGTAAGACGATAACTGTAACACCCAATTTTTTTCTAAAAACTAGAGTGTTACAAAAAAACTCAAATTTCTCTTTAATAATTGAGAAACGTCTCAAATAAAATGAATTCTTTCTTTTCAATCATAAATATCAATTTAAACGCAGGATCGGAGTTTCTAAAAATTTAAATACAATCAATGGATGAATTAAACAAATGAGTCTTTGAACAAATGAAACTAATAATTAAATTTAGAGACATGAAAAGAAAAACACGCTAAATGTTTAATTTCTTTTTTTCTTTCTTCGATTCACTTAGCAGTCCATATCACCATCCGGCCACAATTTCCCATCGACTCGAACTAACTAGTAAAAATTTGTAAGAGTGAGTATTCGAAAACACCTAGTAAGATACGTATAGTTTCCATACACAATTATATAACAAACAAAATCTACACCTCATACCACTCTACTCTTATGGAGTATATCGTTGATCAAGCATTCCATCTCAGGGTCTCTTATAATCCCGTAGGATTTCATCTCTCTTTTTAAAAAACCCGAAAATCTACTGACAATCCATGCATATTTAACTGAATATAAAAGTATAGGAAAATGAAAACGAAAACATTTGCAAAAAGTATCTTACCTTGCTAAATAAAATGAAATATAATTGTTCATGCCCAATTTCTTTTCTCATCCTCTCCACTCGATGAAAGTGCATTGATTGACGATGATGTATGCAAACTTCTAGATTTCTGGCACTACTCTCTCTCTCTCTCTCTCTCTCTCTCTCTCTCTCTCTACCGTAAGTGAATATTTGGATTTGTGTATGTAAAACTCTTCCATCATGCACTTACATAGGTGTAAGTTAGAGTAATTGATAAATCAAAAATTTATTTGATGTTTATCATAAAACAAAGATTGTACTTTATCATTGTTTTATTCATCTAAATGAACTATCATTCCTATCTAATATCGATATACTTCATCTCTTTTCATCAAAATCTAATTAGATAAGTTGGGAATTTAAAATATATTTCATTTGTCCTTTTTTTAGTATAACGATAAATTTTAGTTTTTTTTTATTTTTAATATTTTCATGCGTTATAATATCCCCTCCTTCAACCTGTATTCAGGTCTTCTATTGTCCGTTCCTGGACTAAAGAAAAAACTCGGGAATTTCCCTTCTTTTCTTGCTCATCATTCTTCTTCAAGAGGTCTTCTTTGCAAATTTTGGAAATGTGACCAGTTTTACCACATCGATAGCACACGTGTTTCCCGAACAAACATTCACCCCATGCACTTGTTGCACTTTGGACAGGGTGAGACAACTCGTCCAAAGCTCGATCCAAAGTTGACATTTTTGTTCTATACTTCTCCATTTTCTTCGATGAACCCATTCTACCATGCATCCTATTGCACTACTCTTGAAATAAAACCATTCAATTTGAAGAATGGCCAAAGCGGGGTTTTGATCAGTAAAAATGGCTACAATACGATTCACATACATAGAAAGGGAACACCAGAAGTGATAATTCCAATGTGTTCTCATTACTATGAGAGTACTGGAAATGTAAAAGTGATGAACAAAGGTTCGAAAGCTTTATTTGAGAAAATTCTTGCAAGCATGGTAGAAAATGGCCTCAGATGTATAGCTTTCGCACATAGGAAAACATCAATAAGAGATTATTTCACCTTCTCTCGACAGCAATTGATTCTATTAGGCTTGTCGGATTGACAAATTCGCGTCAAAGTGGAATAGTGGAAGATTGTTGTAGAGCTGGAATCAACGTCAAATTGATCACTGGAGATAACAAAGTAACTGCCACAATCATGGCCACTAAGTTTGGAATAATTGAGCCTTATTACCAGCCTTGTGAAGCGATAGATGGTGAGGAATTCTGGAAGTTTAGCTCAGAAATGCTAATGGCGAAAATTGAAAATATCTGCATGCTGGCAAGAGCCTCTCCTGATGAGAAGTTACTTATGGTCCAATCTTTGAAGCAGAAAGACCATGTGGTTGCATCCATTGGACGAGGCATTGGAGATTCACAAGCCCTTAGCAAAGCAAATGTAGGACTTTGTTTTGGAACCCAAGGAGTAGAAATTGTCAAAGCATGCTCAGCCATTGTCATGTCATGCAAAGATTTTCCTTTCATCATTGATATTTTGACATGGGGTAGGGGAATATACGACAGTGTCTAGATATATACTTAGTTTCTGCTCATTGCAAGTTTTGTTGCTCTGGTAATTGACTTTGTGATGGCTGTTTCATCTAGCGAACCCCCTGGTTTGAATGCTGTGATAGTTGTTCCAACAGGAAAAATTCTATCTTCGGTGTTTTAACTTTTGTGGATGAAACTGATTGCAGGTACTTTAGTTCTTGCACTCAATATCGAAAAGCCATCTCAAGATGCTATGCGGAGGCCACTAAGAAACTTGAAAGAGCCACTAATCACAGCACAAAGTCGTAAAAAATTGGGGCTCAAGCTTTATATTAGATAGCCATCTTTCTGGTTATACATTTCAAAGGCAAATCATTATTTAATGTAAATAATAGGGAAAAGGATTCTTTGGTCCTCAGTACATACATTCTTTGTCAAACCTTTAGCATATTCAATCCCAGGCTTTTGGAGAACATTTTTGAGGAGATGCAAAAGAAAAAACTTCTCTTGAGCATCATTGGACTAATTATTTCCATTCAGTTTATAATGGTGGAAATTTTGAATGGGTTTTTAGGACAGACATGCTAGGATTTGGCCAGTGGGGCTTGTGTATAGCCTTTTCTGCTGCACCTTCTATGGTCACTTGGTTTGTTAGGTGCATGGCTCCTCTCAGAAATGATAAGTGTGCTTTTACAAATTTATTTAGTTCACAAACATAACTAAATTATGATCAAAGAGTTTGAATTATGGCTTAATTCTATGTAATTATGTTTTGTAGGACTATATTGATGAATGTGGTGGAATTCAAGATAAAAGAAACGAAAAAGAACCAAAAAGGAAGAAAATCCAAAGTATGAAGAATAAGTTGCAACATTTCAATAGTTGATTCGGATTAGAAAATGAAGATTAAAGATGTTGCGGGTTCAATTGGATGCAATTAAAAGTCGAAGGGTTGAAAATGTAAGAGAAATAACTTGAAAGAATAAAAAATCGACTTCGAGGGCTCAAATGTAACATATGGAAGAAATTTTGCCTGAGCGACAGCCTAGTTATAAATACCGGGCAATCGCCCAACATGATTTTTTTAATTACTGAGAAGAACTTCTTGGCTTGAGCGACTACTCGAGTTTTGCCTGGGCGACAGCCCAAGCCAATCATGGCGAGAAAATCTAGTTTCCTTTTCTAAATGAAATTCTTATATAAACAAATCATGGGGAGTCTTTTAAAGCCATAGGGACGTCCAAAAACATAGACCATGTATTATACATTATTTTGGGAGGATTTGAAGAGAAAGAAGGAAAAAAGAAGAAGATTGAATCCAAGATTCAAGCTCTCACTTTAAGAATTTTAATAGGGTGATGTCTTTTCTTGATTTTTATTGTTGTGTTCTTCTTCCCATCATATTAGGCTAGAAAAATCTATACTAGGAGATCGATGAACCTTGTAATGTGATATATAATTCTTTATTCCGTATTTTGACATTAAAACACATATTGATTGTTTGAATGATTTATATGCATTTAATTGCTTCCATGATTATGGGCCCGTAATTGTGTGAATTTTGGTGGTTTGTTTCATCTATTCGAAAGAAGAGGAATAAATTCGATAAGGTATAAATCATCATAAGGTCTGATAGTGGATAGAAATATACCCCTATGCTTTGCCTGAATCTCTAAGTATTCACAAAACTACATGCATTCTCGTATATTTGCATCCGTAATAGAATATAGGCTGGTGGTGTATGAGAATAGGTACAATTCATGACGAGAGAGTGTGTTGGATAGATTTAGGAGTATTGATTCTTCAAAATTTCATCATGTTGTCAAAGTGTGGAATTAAAGTTAAATTGAATATTACTTGGGAATTCGTGAACCTAGTATATCTCACATTTAGCCTGAGTCCCAAACATCAAATTGTATTTTAGTTAATTTAAACGTTGTGTTGCATAGCATATCATCTAATTCATAATATTGGTACCTTAGCTTAGATTTAGGATTTTTTAGGACAAAAACTCATAATTGATCATTTAGATTCGGTTAAGGCCGAGATAAATACAGTTGAACTACTTAATTTTTGTAGGACAATATTCGAACTCCAAAAATCTACTTTATTACTTGTTAACGAACAGTACACTTGCGGTGATTTAAATTGAAAGAAAATATTTCGTGAAAAAATTTTTGGCATCGTTGCCGGAGATTGAGTTTAGTTTAATTTCATTTTTCTAGGCACTAATTCGAACTTTAAATTTTTATTTTTATTATTTTTTATTTATTTTCATTTAAGTTATTTTATTTTATTTTTATTATAGTTCTTCAAATTGTTTGAATCTGAGTGCTACTACTAGTTTTCTCGTAGAGTTTCATGCCAAGATCGACTGGAGGAGAATTGATTCCAATTGATCCTGAAATTGAGCGCACTTTTCATCAATTGCAAAGAAAAACTAGAGAAACACAGTTGCAAATGGCTAACGAACCGAACAACCATATTATCCCAGCTAATGAAGGAGAGGTGGTAGACGAAGGAAATGAGACTTTGAGAGATTTCTTGATTCTTCAAGTAATTCAAATCCAGTCCAGCATAGTGTATCCACCATTTGGACAGCATAATTTTCAATTGAAGACTAATGTGATATAGCTATTCCAGAATGGACACCAATTTTATGGCAAAGCCGAAGAAAATCCACATACACACATATCTCGATTCTTGGATATGTGAAACACTTCAGGTATCAAGGAATTTCAGATGATGCTATTAGGCTAAGGTTGTTTCCACATACACTATGAGATAAGGCACTTGAATGGTTTGATTCACTTCATATTGCAAACATCACTACTTGGAACGAGCTGGTTCATAAATTTTGCACGAAGTTTTTCTCAACAGCTAAGATAGCGAAACTGAGACATGAGATATTGATATTTAGTCAAGGAAAATCTGAATCATTTGACGAAAGCTGGAATAGATTCAAAAACATGTTCTGGAAGTGCCCTCAACATGGGTATGACAAAAGGACCAAAATTCGATTTTTCTATACAGGGTTACTCTCGTACCATAAAAGCGTGGTGGACTCATCATCAAATAGCTCAATATCCACACAAACAATTGATGGAGCACTGAAATTGTTTGAGAGAATGGCTACCACTTCAGCCATGTGATCCTCTGAGTGGGTGATTCAGAAGAAGCCTCCGAGTGTCTATGAGGTAGATGCATAATTAGCCTTATTAGCAAAGATTGACTTACTAGTTCATAAGGTGGAAAGTATATCACAGTTCGCGAATGCAACATATGTACGAAAACCAAATTGTGAAGAATGTGGAGCGAATTATTGTACGACAGAATGCCCAATTCTATCACAGGGAATGGAACAAATAGAGTACGCACAATCGGGTCAACGTCAACAAAACTATCAAAATTCAGACACTTACATTCCCGATTGGAAAGAACATCCAAATCTCTCATGGGGTGGTACCCAAAATCAGAATAGATCTCAGAGGCAATTTCAGCAGGAGAAGACACTTCAATTAGAAGAGATGTTTGTAAATTTCATGGAAAAGACTGAAAAATAGATAGAAGTAAATAACCAATTCATTAGGAAAATTGAAACTAGTCTCCAAAATCAGAGTGCTGCAATTAAAAACTTGGAGACGTAGATGGGACAGATGACACTCGCTATGACAAAAAGGGCACCAGATACGTTACCAAGTAATATTGAGTTGAATAATAGGGAGGATGTTCAAGCGATCACAACTAAAAATGGGATGCAACTACCTGAAAGACACGTTGAGAGGTCGAGTGTAAACAACTAGACAACACTCTCTATAGAAGAAGAGATTGTATAGAAAGACAAGCGGACACGTGAATTCACACCAAAGGAGAATTCAGAGACTTCACGGGATAAGGGCACAATTCCAGTTAACCCCTATGAGCCACCCATTCTATTTTTCCAGAGGTTGAGGAAGCACAGGATGGAGCAAAAATATAAGAAGTTCCTCGAAATCTTAAAAAAGCTCCACATCAACATTCCATTCGCCGATGCACTATTCTAGATGCCCAGCTATGAAAAGTTTCTAAAGGACATATTATTAAGTAAATACAAGCTGGAGGATCATGAGACAGTAATGCTAATCGAAGAGTATAGCGCCTGGATCTAGAAAAAGGTCCCATCAAAATTGAAAGATCCACGGAGTTTCACTGTCCCTTACACAATTGGAGATTTTTATTTTAATAAAGCATTGTGTGATCTTGGTACGAGTATTAACTTGATGCCACTCTCTATTTTCAGGAAACTAGGATTGGAAGAGCCTAAAGCAAGTAACTTTACAGCTGGCTGATCGATCACTTACACATCCATGAGAGATTATTGAAGATGTATTGTTCAAAGTGAATAAACTTATATTCTCAGCGGACTTCTTAATTCTGGACATGGGAGAAGATAAGGATGTGCCTATCATATTTCGGCAACCATTTTTGGCAACTGTGAGAGCTCTCATAGATGTGCAATAAGGACATTTGACTCTGAGACTGGGGGAGGAGCAGGCCTCTTTTAATATTTTCAAAGCAATGAAATGTCCCATCGAGCTAGACACTTGTTTTCAAATTGATGTGATTGACATAGGTATTCCCTACAATTACGAGTTAAAGAAACTGCCAGACATTCAGGAGGCCGATATGATGTACCCTCAATCCACTTTCATTGACTGAAAGGAGATCGAGGTATACACCATGGAGTCTCAAACGGATGATGAGGGAAAGTCATACTACTTGGAAAATGACAGGTTTGAAGGGTGGAGGATAACTGCAATGCGAAATAAGAGCATATTGAACAAACTATACAGGACCTCCCAAGCCATATTTAAAGTGCCATAACACACCTATACCAAAAGTCGAGCTATCGACTATAAAATAATGCTGATTAGGATGTAACCCAACGTTTCTATCCTTTCATTTATTTCGTTTTGCAATAGTTTAGGAACTTTTCATTTTTTAGCAGTATCAATAGTTTTACGTCATCGATCATACATCCCTATCACATGGAGTCTAGGC